TATGTATGTATGTATGTATGTATGTATGTATGTATGTATGTATGTATGTATGTATGTATGTATGTATGTATGTATGTATGTATGTATGTATGTATGTATGTATGTATGTATGTATGTATGGCCTAAAGTACACACACCCCTCATTTCGTGATCCCTTGAGATCTGGTGCAAAGATTGGTTATGAAATGGAAAAAGGGAAAGAATACAGAACTATATTCAAGGAAGGTGTCTAGCACTAGCAGCAGACAGAATGAAGGAACAACCACCCTAAGTTAACATATCTGAAGGAAGCTGATGAAGAGATCCTGCCCAAGCCACAGAGTTTTTGTAGTATAGACAGAACGTTTACAAATGGCAACAGTATGCCAGTATAAACCATTCAGTCATGAAAGAAAAGGAACAGGGCTGTCTTGCTCATCACATAGTTAAAGATGTAGACTATAGGGGATTTTCATAAGAAGTTTAAGGTTATAATTGTAATCATAATATAAAATAGCCATGAATAGGGAAAATTAGTAACCTTAGTAGGACTTCTCTTCAGCATGTATCTTGTTCATCATTAACCCAATAATAATACAGATACATAACTAGATTGCTCAACACCAGAAAAGCAGCAAGGATTTTTTTTCCTGAAGTAAGGTGCAGGTGTTACAGATTAGTAACAATTCATTTAATTAGAATTAGGAGTAAATGGAATCTCTTGTGTATATGCACTCTTGTTTTATGGACAGGCTTATCCCCTTTTATTGTTGTAATAAGAGCTAAATGCACACACTCTTGCTGGGTGGTATTTTTTTTCTTTACCTACTGACCAACAAGATACTCTGAAATCCTACCTATCCCACCTAAATTTCTTCCTGCCCTATATTAACTGCTGTTTGTAATTGTACATGGTATAATTCAGCCTTTGATCTTGAAGATAGATAATGTAATCTAAATACAAATATTATCTCTGGCAAAGGATCCAACTTGCCATAACTGTAAAAAATAGATGATGTACTGTAAATGAAAAAAAAAATCTCTGGCAAAGGATCCAACTTGCCATAACTTTCAGAATTACCATGAATGTAAAACATATCAAATCCTTAAGTGGCAACATGAAATGTAATAACTATAGGGGACAATAAATATAGAAACAGCATTGTAAGGATATATTGTTCTCAAATTCTAATGGTAAAGATTGTCTGTCATGCAGCACTGGGTATTTGCTCTACCAGTATTATTGTAACACTGCTGGCATGTACACACTGAGTTTTACCAACCTGAAACAGTTAACATTTGTTGACAAGTCTCCAAAATATGTAGATGAAGATTATCACCTCACATAGACATATGCAATGTGAACAAGATGATCTACAACCGACTTTGTGTAAACTAAGTAAATATAAAGAAGAAAGTGACAGTTTGTTTCTTTTGTATGTAGAAGTGGGTGTGACTGCACATTTAATGTGAAGATTAAAGTGCCAGTAGAAAGACTACAGATAAAAGACGGTTTCCTAGATGTATATTTGCATTTCCTACTATGTATTTTTGTGTCAGTTTTCTTCTTTTGCACTAAAAAGGTTCAAGGAACTTCTGTGTATTAAGAGAACTATGAGATATTTCATTAGTATGATATTATATAGGGATACCTTAGATCACACAGCATGAACATTTTATATCAAGTTTTTAGACTCAGTAGATGATTCTGGGAAAGCATATATGTAATTATTTCTGCAGTTCAGATACTTCTGTTGCCTCAAGAGTAGTATATTCAGACAACTGATTAGTAGAACTCTTGTCCTCTGTTTGATTTTGTATCTCTAATATATAGTTGCTACAAGAGAAAGAAATGATGAATAGGTTGTATATAAACAGACACTGTTGTCCTTGACTTTTTTTTAACCCATTTGCACGGGGTGTCACGTATACATGACATGCCCACTGTGAGTTTACTTGTTTAATTGTTTTTACACATAGATGGCTACACTTGTACTTGTACTGCCTGTCTTGCCTGTTTACCCTTTTCTTTAATTTACGAAAATATTTTACTTATCTTATTTTGCTGTTACTAATGTTTACAACATTATAGTAATTATAATGTTTATAATAGAAATAACCATCAATATTCACAGCACTAGTAAAACATACATTTTCCCGCCAAATGAAATCAGGTAAGGCAGAGCCATCTATGTGTTGAGACATTTCACAAAAAGTATAAAAAATGAGCACTGTATTTTCCCAATTTTTTGTTAATTTTTACCTGTCGCAAATGGGTTAAATACATGTGGTCTTGAAACTTCTAAAGGTTTTAAATTATTTACATTTGTGTCTTCCCAACATCCAAGTATAAGTTCTGATGAATGGAGTATGAAGTATTGGTACAGTGTGAATTTTGTATATTAACCAGATAAAAAATACGCTGACTCCAGTCTTTATTGCAAAGAAGAGAGAAATTCACATATAATTCCCTTCAATGATAGGTATACTTTGCTGTTTTAGTCAGCAGATTGTACCTTAA